TGTTTTAAATTCGACTTGTGTTAAGAAAGGCAGAGGTAGACCTAGGAAGACTTGGGCTTATTGTATTAAAAATGATCTTAATTTACTAGAACTAAATGAAAATATGACACTAAATAGGACGCAATGGAGAAAAAGGATTCATGTAGCCGACCCCACGTAGTGGGATTAAGGCTTTGTTGTTGTTGTTGTTGTTGTTCTGACTTTTATCTTAGCAAAATTTCGAGTATGACATTTACTACCAACTTTTGTTGAAAACTCTGTTTCATGATCAAAAGCATTATCATACATTAGGAAATACTAAGAGAGCTTTAATCCATCTAAGCATTCCTTCCTTCAAGTATAAAATTAGTAACTCCTAAATTTAATTATATCCAGACAAAATTCATACACTTCATATTGATGTGGCACTAACGCAAATATTAAGGACAAGTTCAGAAATCAAGGCTTATCAATAAATTCAGCAAGCATAGCTCTCAGCCTAAGCGTGACCCCTCTTCTCTTCAAAATGAATGGAGACAATTAAGAGGCTTAATTTGAGGTCTTCTAATGGGTATGTCAGCTACAAGAATTATGTAATTGAAGTTCTTCAAAGATTGCTTGATTTTAAGACAACTTCACGTACTTTATTTGACTTGACCAATTATTTATCTTGCATGGAAATTTATAATTTAGTGATATTTTGTTTCTTTTGACTTTTAATTAAGATAAGTAATTAATTCATATAATAATAGGTTATTGGCTCTTAAGGTTTTCTAAACATGGCTAGGCGTAAAAAAAACCTACAAAGAGCACCTTATTTTGTCTCTTTTGATTTCAGTAAATAAAAATTATATTTTGTTTATAAAAATTTCATGTGAATAGGCGTGGTGGCTGCATTACCATTGGGTGATGCTTAACGGCTTATCCCCTAGGGCTTTGGTGAGTTCTTAGTTATATTTTTCCTCTTCTATTTCTCTCTCTCCAAACAATTCCCATCTTCTACTGACTAGATTCAACCAAACTAAGTTCATAGCCTCCGTCAACTCCAAGGCACCCCTTTAATAGTCTTTTACACATTCCGTCAGTCTGTATAACTTAATGAGGTTTCTACTCCATTAAATAAAAAATAGCTTTGCCAAATCCAGTACTGGGAGACAATTTCCTGCAATAAGCAACAAGATTAAACATTTCACAACTTCTAGCCACTGATCTAAAACCCCAAAAAAGCCTTCATTAATTATTTGATGTTTCAAATCTGTGTCTGAAGTTCCTCATTCTTTTTCTTTGATAAACATTTATTCATTCAAAGCCTAAACTTTTCAGCCATTAATATGTCCAAAACTCTGAATATCCCTTTTCCCAATAACACATAACCCTTGTTTTACCCATCTAAGGATATACTAATCAAGTCGTTGCCTTTTTCATCCAAATTTTGTGGACTCTATATCAATATTGTAGATCTACATTAACACAGGACATTATAAGTTCTTTAGAAATTGTTTTAGCAATTACTTAGCCTCAGTCATGACTTATAGAAATAGCATGCTTTACTGAATTGGTGCAGGTAATTATGCGCGCATTATCATCTCCCCCATTTCAAAATTATCGTGTGTGGTGGTCTCTTTCAGACTCCAAGTATGGGGGAACTGCTTTGTTAATAAAAAACCAATGCAAGCCAAAGAAGGTCTCATTCTCCATCGACCGGAAAGGTACATATTTAAACTTTTATGGCTTGCTACATGATTTGTAATGTTGATTTTCTTAAGAGCAAGTGACATGTCTGTGGTGAGCATCAGAAAACAATGATGTATTTTTGTAATAATTTCATGAAATATCAGATAATTACAAATTTAATAAATCACATGATTTGTTAATTTATTTAGTACAAAATTTGAGAAGCCTTCTGGTATTTTCCATTTGTAGGGGGCGTCTACAGGAGTGCTAGGTCTTCACATCACTTTTTAAACAGTTTGCAAGATCTGTATCCATGTAATAATAGTTTGGGGTCATTAAACCTTCTGTGCTTAAAAAAACATGCACAGGACTTCATTACCTGCACAAAAAAAGCATATAATAGTATTTCATGGCCATGTTGAAGCAATGCGCATGAGCAGTAGTATTTTGCACATTTGTCTTGCTGTCTTGCAACAACATGCACAGTTTTTTCTTTTGTGGCGTTGCGATCTTTGTTCTTTTTCTTAATACATTTTTAACTTTTATGCAAGTTGACCTAGATTATAATTATGTGTCAAGTTTGAAAGAGAAAATACACCATAACTCTTTTTCTCGTTTAAATATTTTATTTGAATTTTTTGGCCCTTTTTTGTTTCTTCTTTTGTTCTCTTCATTCTTTGATAAATACATGCATGACCAGAGAAAAAATAGAAAGGAATAGAGATAAAATAGAGACGCAGTAAGGATGAGCGTTGAGCTGCAAACAATTAAAGGGAAAGAAAGAGAAATGGAGGTTGGATTGGAAAGAGAAAGTGATAACCCAAACATTCAAGGGAAAATAAATATTATTACTGAATTCAAAAATCTGAAGTTAAAGCTACTGCAGGAAATAGGAAATTGCAACAAAACAAGACAACACTAGAACTAGGGTTGGATCTAGGGCATAAGTGGTGTTGGCTAGGGGTTTAGACCTCTAGGGAGCTGGAAAGGGGATCAGCCAACAAGCTGGAAAGTGGCGGCATCAATGGAAAAAGCTGCAGCAGCAAGGGGAAAAGCTGCGAGCAACAAGAACAGTGGTGGGAGTGCTGTTCTAAGTGGCTGAAGCAAGGAAAGCAATAAAGAGAATTTGCGAGCATTGCGGGAAAGGTTGAGAAAAAGGTATAGGAAGGATAAAAATCACCCATCCATGGATCCCAAAGCAAATCATAGAAAAAAACTAACCCTGAACGCTAAAAAAGCAAATATAATCTTAGGTAACTTGAAAAGAGGCGACACTCCCAACATTAGAGGGTCGGCTTGCCCTCATAGCTCCTGGACCGAACCCAAGCGTCTGTGATGCTCCGCGTTAGAAAAAGGGAAGGGGATTTGTTTGATGATGACCTTCTGGAGGTCAGATTTTAGTCGTCTAAGAAAATGCAGGCAACAATTGATACCAAACTTGACGGTTTTGATGCCACTTATGGACAACCCTGCAGTGTGACTAATGGCCCAATGTGACCATACGAGGTTCTCTCATTTAGAACACCATTTCTGTTTTTCTTGAAGAGGATTAGTTGTTTCATTGACAGAAGGAGACTTCTTTGTTTTCAAATCAGCTTGTCCCACGATTAGAAAGCTGCAGGCCCCTCACACAAAAATGCCCTCAGTCCTGCTGGGATTGCAAAATCTCATTCTTGGGAATGCTACTGACTTTAGTTTGCACGATTTCAATATTATATTTTTGCTGAGAATTTTAAATAGTAGATAATGAACCTTAACAACACATTTAACAAAGCTGGTGGAAATGCCACTAAACCTATTATTCCTCCAAATAGTTTTAGAGGTTGATGGCTGATTAAAGAGCTCCTTTGCTTGAACAAATTCAGCATTCCAAAGCACTGCAAGTATGTTAGAAAAATTTGTTTTAAAATTATACCACATTACCGTATTTTTTTCACATCTCTGAAAAATCTTGAAAATGATTTTTAAAAAAATTATATTTTATTTGGATTATATATTTTATCTCTAGCTTTCACTCCATCTTCCTCGCCTTGCTACTGTTTTGTAGGCTTCGGACACAGACTCACACATTTTGGTCGCTTCGCAGACTGCGTTGTTCTCCGTCGTCGTCTGTTTCTTCGTCTGCGTTCGAGTGCGTCGGCCGAGCCTTCATCCCCAGTTGCAAACTGCGTTCTCGTCTGTCTGGTCGCAACCTTCTTCCCCGGTCGCAGTCTGTGGCCTTTTTCGCCTGCTTTTGAGATTTGCGTTCCCTGTTTCTGGTTCTGGTTTGGGGAAATGACCCCGAGTTATGCGGCGACTGTCTCCGGGGGTTCTACTCCCGGAGCAGGCGGCCGTTCCCGTTTCTTTCCTCAAGAATTTCATGATGCACATATGAATCTGAAGGTGGTTATACCTTTATTAAAATACTGGGAAGAAAGAATGACAAACCCGCTTTGTTTCTCACTGATGAGGAAACAAATATTGGCTTCAGCATGTAGATATACTCTTGCTGGAAATTTCCGTATGGAAATCCCAAGCTTGAGATTATTAGAAAGCATTTCGATTTTCTTAAGCCACAGAGAGTTGGAAAGTTGGTTCGCTAGATGGCCGTCACGTTCTCATTCAATTCTCAAATGACGCAGATTATACTCAACTCTTTGCTAAAAAAGTTATCAAAATTGATATGAAAATTCTGAAATTGACAGTGGATTTTGATCCTAAATTGGAATCTCCTATTATCCCGGTTTGGGTTAGTTTTCCAGGCTCAAGGTGCATCTCTTCAATTATGAAACCCTATATACATTAGCAACTGCTTTTGGGAAATCGTTGAACGTCGATACTCCCACGCTTGATACAACTAGGCCATCTGAAGCTTGTGTGCTTGTAGAGCGCGACATCACTCAACCCTTTCCAGGGGAGATTTGGATTGGCTCCCCTCATCAGGGTTATTGGCAGAAGATTGTGATGAGACCTCATCCCCAATACTGCCCTCACTGTGGAATGTTTGGTCATAGCTTTTCATCCTGTTATCGGTTGCATCCCATCTAGGGTCGGCTGCCCACCTCCTGTTTTTTCTGCAGAGGTTATACCCTGTTCCTCACTGCCTGTGATACCTACTGCTATGCCCATGGTGGATACGGTGCAAAATGGTTTGTCTACTGATATTGTTTTGGAAAATGTTGATAAGGGTCGTTTGTTGGAGGAGAGTCAGGTGGTTGCCCTTGGAAGGCAGGACGCGGTCACGACCCATTCTTCTACTGGAGTGGACATACTACCCTCTCAGGCTCTACCTACCGTGGAGGGTGCTCATGCTTCCCTCTATGAGGTGATTGAAGATAGGGATGAAGCAAACATTCACATTCAGATGACGGAAAATGTCTCCTAATACTAATGAGGAAGATTTAGAGCCAAACTAAAAAAATTTTACTGCTATTAATCAGTTGGTAGAACTACCTGTTGAGAGGGCAGGTGTTTCCTAAGTTTTTGAAGACTGTCCTACACAAACTCAAGAACTAATCGCTGCATCTGCCATTCCTACTATGGATCAGACTGAACAGTCTTCAGAAGAAGAATGATAAGTTTACACTTCTCGGCGGAGGAAGAAGGCTAGGGACACTGTTTAGCTTGGAAACTTAATGGATAATACCTTTATCACTCCTAACAATGGAACAACACTTCAGAGTTTGCTATCTGGATCCGCTCCAAAAATAAGAGGAAGAGGCAAGTTTGAATTTTCTCATCCATAGACTTGTTTTTTCAAGTTTTCTTTTTCTTTTAGTCTTTTGTATCTTTTTGTTGGGATATATTTGCACCATATATCGTATGAGTAGGGTGTCATCTATTGGGCCCTCTCATACAATTTTTTTGTATTCTTTTTTATTTCAATATTATCTGCTCTAGGGCTTCTCTCTCTCTCTCTCTTTATATATATATATAGAATAAGCCCAAGGGCTAATATATTAAAGAAAAAAAGGTACAAAAATGTTGTATGATAGGGCCTAAAAGAAAGTTCAACTCACATAATACAACACACACAAATCCCAAATAAAACAAAAATACATAGAGGTAAAAAACCAAAAAACCACCAAAGGGCGCAAAAGTGCTAGAGGCGTCCTACTTTAGTTTTCCATCTGCGTCTAATTTTCATAATTGAGCCGGCTAACAAATTGATAAGGTGAGTACCATTGCCTGAAGTAACCAAAGTATCATCCATCAGGTTCCTGAGCTCAAGTAGGTCTCCATTCTTCTTCTTCCTCCTGGATGTGTAGATCTGTCATTCCTCATCCGATGATTGCCTCTTTTGATCAATAGATTGTTCTAAAGTTGGTCGAACATGTGAAGACAGTTGCACATCATGATCCCCATGAGCCTGAGTAACATTTACAGCTTGCTCGACCTGATGAGGCGGTAGTGAAACAGTAGAAGTATTGCCACTTGTAATGTCAGGGATAGGTTCTAAGGAAAGTGGGGTCTGAAGAATATTTCTCTCACCCACGATAGGAGGTTCCAAAGACGGCTGAATGATTGTCATATTACCTGCGAGAATAGTGACGTCTTCGGGGGTATCTTTTTTATGATCAATAGTGTAAATAAATTGGAGCTAATTAGGAGGAGATAGAATCACTGTCTCTGGCGGAGCACCGTGCTTTTTTGGTCTGAGATGTGGGTGTAGATAACGACATTGAGAACTTGAGTGGCCGAACATACGACAATTCAAGAAATACGACGGAAAAGACTCAATCACAACCTTTTGCCAATATTCATGATGCTGTGTGCCTAATCAAATTTCCTCAGGAGCAGATGAAGTGATGTCTCTTTCAACAAGTACTCTGACTTCAGATGAACGAGAAAGATTAATAGTAGGAATATCTGTTTTGAGTGGCTTACAATAAGTTAAGACAATTGCGCACAAAATTTTTTGAGTAAAAAAATGAAATTTCAGACCCAAGCGACGAATCCAAACTGGAATGATTGACGGTTTTGTCTGAGGGTCAAAATCACAGACCATTTCAAAATCTTTATTGCTCTGTTATCAATCCAGATTATCCTTCTAGTA